TTCCAGATTAAGTGTAGCATATTTAAAAAGTGGTCCATATTTGTCTTTCTCTCCCTGCTCTCTTTGTTCCACCATGTACTACTTAGAGATACTGATTTTTAAAGAAATTGTGTAAATGCTGCACCTCCCTATTGAATCATAAGTTTATGTTTGTATTCCTCAAAGCATCTGACATGGTGCTATGCAAATTGTAATAATAATACTAGATCTGCCACTTACTGCCTGCTTACTTGTACCAGGTACTCTGTTAAACACTCTATAGACATCACACCACCTCTGTGCATCCTAAATCTTGATTACATGTGCTGGTCCATGTGGAACAAAGCACAGTTGCTGTCACCAAGCCTCTTTTTCCTCTACTCATGGAAGCCACCGCAGCTAAGAACCTGAAGTTGCAGTGGCTGTGCAGCCAAAGGCAAGGCAGCAGCAGGAAAACACCAACTAAGGGTCCAACATTTACTGAGGTACACACACCCTCAGACTGCATCCCTGGCTTTCCATATACCAGCTGAATGACCTTGGAAAGTTGATAGGCTGGTTTGTGCCTTAGCTTCTTCATCTGACTAGGAGATGATGATTCACATCTTTTAGGACTGATCTAAAGATAAAATGAGATAATATACACAGTATGTGGGACAGCCCTGGACATATAGTAGGACACAGTAGCTCTTATCAGTAGTATTACTACATCTAAGGCACAGTGGTAGGCACTGTGAAATATAGACCAAAAGGGAATGGATTAAGGTGGTGGATCTTGTTCCTCAACCCTTAAGGCAGAGATCTGAATCTACATACTCTGTTAAGGTCTTTTTTAGCTCTTGTCTGCGATTCGGGTACTTCCAGTTTGAAGCCAGCAACCATATGCCCTCACCACATGGCAGCAAATCAGGTCGGAGAGTTGCTCAGTTTAGAATTGCCAAACCCTAGATACTAGGGATTAAAACCTTTAGAAAAAAATCATAGGTAGGGAAAGCCAACCAAGCAGCCTTGGTTTCTAAACTTAGGACTTGCTGTTGCCGTTTGTATTTTCATTGGAAGAAGGCCTCTAATTCAGCCTGTAGCTGGTATCATGAATCATTCAAAGGTGTGGTGCAACTTTGACTAGAAACTGGACTAGAGGCTCCGTGCGGGTTTGGAAGCAGTTACACTCTTGTGGTTTGACTAACCTTTTTTATGAGTGTGTTACTAAAGAAACGTGAGCTCTTGGCTTTTCAATTACTGTAGCTTACCCCTGCTGAGTTTCATACACATTGAGTCATCGTGTCTACAGGTGACTGATAATCATCTGCACCGCTCCAGTTACCGTAACTCGGAGATGAGGGGATCTGATGATGGCAGGTTGTGTGCACGTGAAGCTCTGAGGCTGCCCCATCTTCTTAACAATGAACAATGTTCTGCGCTAACCACAGAGCTCAGTCGCCTGTTTCCACTCATCCAGGTTTTTTTATTTTTTCCTCTTAACGTGTGCTTCTGGCAACGTTAGCACTCAGCTATTTTCTGACATAAGCTGCAGGTGGTATTGGCTGTGAAACTGTAGGGCTAGTTAAGTAAAGCAGCTATTGGGAGAAAAGATAGTAGCAGGGTTTGTGATGTGCCTGCCCCACCCCGGAAACTTTCTGGGCCCTCTTCATTAGGTGAGAAGATAAAAAGGGGTCCCTGATATTTGGGGAGTTGAGTAGAGCTGGTCACATTGGAAAACTATAAGTTACCTTGAAAAGACCAAGAAACCAAACTTCGTCACTTCTGTGGCCCTCTGTGATGTTAGCTGACTTTCGAGTTTTCTGTCGTATTCTTACAGATGGTCTTAATCAAAGACATATCCAATCTGGAAGTTGAATAAGAACCATTGATTGCTCTAGCGAACTTTTCTGTTGCTTGTTAGGGAGTTGCAGGGTGTTTCTCTTTGCATATTTTTTTCCTCTCCCTCAGGTATTTATCTAGAAGCTATCACCTTAGCCTTAAGGCGGTGGAGATGCAGGGGCCACTGGTCTCTTTGGTTCCAATTTACTCATTGCTGTTACATTAATATCCTGAAAATTACATTTGACCATGAGTCTCTTGCTTGAGGACATATAGTGGTTTGTTGCTTGTTCAAGTCCAAACACTGTGGTTGGTCACTCAGAATACCCATCATTTGGCCCCACCATATTTATCTTTTTTCAGTGTTTCCCAAAATGTGGGATGCAAACTGCCAGGAGGCACACAGGATGTTTAAAAAACTTGGTCCACATGGTAAGAAAGTTACTTTAAGTCCTCTTTCAATCATACCAAAGAAAAAGATTTAGACTTAAATTGATGCTAGTTGCTTCTAACATTAATCTTTGTTTTTAACAAAGAGAGAGTGATCAAAGTTTTCTACTCACAGTAGTTTTATTAAAATACAGTATTATTTATTAAAATTTAATAAAGTGCTGTTTCATTGTCTTTATTTTTCATAATTACCTTCTATTTATGGCAGGCAATTCTGGTATCTGTTTGTATTGGTGATATAAAGCTTTCTTACAATTTTTCCCCTTAATTTTAGCAAAAAAAAAAAAAGAAAGTGAGCTGATTTAAACCACCACCACCATCCTAACATTTCCCAAGTGCTTTCAGTGTGCCTGGCACTGTTCTAAGTAGTTCCCAATGACCCCGTGACATAGGTACAGCTTTTATTCCCATTGTATACGAGGACATGGCAGCGCAGATTAAGCAGCTTGCCTAATGTCACACGTTTAGTAAGGGATGGCGTTAGCTTCAAACCCAGCCCATCTGATTCTTCAGCACAGGCTCTTGACCACACTACCCTGGTGTGTGGATATGTTCGAATGTGAAGAAATACATGAATAAGTTTGAGAAATACTTTATTTCATGCTTCTTGATACAACGTTAGCCAGATTCTCTTACCCTTCCCTACTCATGTCCTATGTATCCCACCTCCCTGCTTTCATTCATGGCCCCTCTCTAAATCTTATTGTTGTTGTTAGATGCTGTCTAGCTGGTCCCCAACTCATGGCAACCCTGGGCACAATGAAATGAGACACTGTCTGGTCCTGTGTCATTCAGTGATGGACTGTGGATCAGACTGTGGTAATCCTTAGAGTTTTCATTGGCTGTTTTTCAGAAATTGATAGGCAGGCTTTTCTTCCTAATTCGTCTTAGTCTGGAAGCTCTGTGAAACCTGTCCAAATCATAGCAAGGTGCAAGCCTCCATTGACATATGGGTGGTGTCTGCACAGGAGGTGCATGGGCTGGGACCTGAACATGATCTCTCGTGTGGAAGCCAGAATTCTACCGCAGAACCACCGCTGCCCCATCCTCTGTCCTTAGAATGGCTGAAATCTAAAACTTGAAAATCTAAATCTTAACCATTTCATCAAGACCCGTTCATCCATTCATCTAGATTTTCCCAGAATGCTTTCTCTTCCCTAACTACTCTTGAATTTTTTTTGCATTTCCTTTCACTTAAATATACAGTTTATACCAAAAGGTCTTGCCCCTGTACGTGTGTGTATATATATATATATATATTTTTTTTTTTAATAGAAGTCATGTTACTCTCTGCTGGAATTTAGAATGAAATCAAAGGCCTTCATAAAGCAAAGCAGCCCAACCTGTTTACAGCTTTTAATATACAATTTTTCTGTCGTTCCATATATGCAGGTTTTATTTCTCTCCCATTGCACTGGAGACACCTCAGAAACAGGAACCAGTTATTCTGGTCCTTTTATTTTCTTATATATTTGTTTGCTTTCATTAATGAGCCTTTTACTTTTGGGCACTGACAGATTTTTAAATTGCAACAGGCCTAGGAATGAATGGTACAGAAAAGAAGGATATGGTTCAGCAAATGTCTCTAGAATCCAGGGTCTAAAGAATAAAAAAGCATCAGCAACAACCTTAGCCTCACTTCCAGCACTTGATACAAGCTCTATGCTTTCTCTTCCCTCCACCAGCCACTCACCACTGAGCTCAGTGGCCGTCATTGCAGACCCTGTTCCTGCCTTTACTGTGGTCAGAGAGCCTTCTAACACACAGCACCCACACGCTCTGAAGGTGGCTAAACTCTGTTTTCAAAATCTCTCAGCAGTTTGACATAAGAAGCAGGAGAGGGTAACCACAAATAAATTTTATCACTTAAGTGTGAGTTAGGTCCTAATGACCGATCTCAGCTATGTATGATCACATACATGTTGACACATTTTTTGAGCAAAAATGTTTCATGTTATGAAATGAATAGTTTTCCTAAAACCTTCTGCATTTGAAGCTCTTTTACTGCAGTATCTGTCAGTGTGGTGACCGGCGTGTTTTGAGTGGTAGCTTGGAGCTTTTGGGTTGTTTTCCTTACCTCTCACTATTTAAAAACCTGTCAAGGCCATTCACTGAGCAGCCCCACTTTTGTGGCATTTGCATCCCCTTGACTATCTAATATAGTCTGGTGGCATAGTGCCTAATACATTTGACTGCTAACCAGAAGGCTGGAGGTTCAAACCCACCAGCCACTCCTTGGAAGGAAGACTGAGCAATCTACTTCCATAGAGATACCGCCTTGGAAACCCAAGGAGGGGTCACTGTGAGTTGAAATCAAATCAAATATGGCAAGCAGAAAATAGCAAACAGAAAATAAGAGGTTGGAAGTTGACTGTGTTTTAAGAGTTCATAAACGATGTGTGAGGCATTCATGCTTCCATACACTGGGGGCTCCCTTGCCCCTCTAAACTCCATCCTATGCCTTTGCTTCGTTTTCTCCTCCTCTGTTATATGCAGTGGACACACTGTGTATTGGTCCCAGCCTAATGGCCTCTGGCCCTCCCTTTTGCCTGTAGGCTTATTTTGACTGTAGAAATGTATTGCTACAAGCCAGCATCTCCTGAGCCTTCAGCATTGTATGGAAGGAACATTCTTCTGGGGATGGGTGATCCTTCACTTTTTATTTTTCCCCCTTCTTCTGCTTCACTTTTTGAGAACTTTGGGAAGTAATTTTTGAAAGTCTCTGTAACCCTTTCTTTCACCTGTTCTAGGTGAGAAGCGCCACTGCTTTGATGTCAACTATAATTCCAGCTATATGTACGAGAAGGAGAGTGAGATGATACAGACCCGAATGATGGACCAAGCCATCAATAACGCCATCAGCTATCTCGGAGCAGAAGCCCTGCGTCCCTTAGTCCAGACACCACCTGCTCCCACCTCAGAGATGGTTCCAGTTATCAGCAGTATATATCCCATTGCCCTCACCCGTGCTGAGATGCCAAATGGTGGCCCCCAGGACCTGGAGAAGAAGAACATGCACCTGTCAGAGAAGAGCATACCTTCTGAAAGAGGTCTCTCCCCCAACAACAGTGGCCATGACTCTACGGACACTGACAGTAACCACGAAGAGCGTCAAAATCATATTTACCAGCAAAATCACATGGTTCTTCCTCGGGCCCGCAATGGGATGCCACTCTTGAAGGAGGTCCCCCGTTCTTATGAACTCCTCAAGCCCCCACCCCTCTGTCCAAGAGACTCCATCAGAGTAATCAGCAAAGAGGGGGAGGTAATGGATGTGTATCAGTGTGACCACTGTCGCGTCCTCTTCCTGGATTATGTGATGTTCACTATTCACATGGGTTGCCATGGCTTCCGTGACCCTTTTGAGTGTAACATGTGTGGGTATCGAAGTCATGATAGGTATGAGTTCTCATCTCACATAGCCAGAGGAGAGCACAGAGCCATGCTGAAGTGAATATCATCCTAGAGAAGTGCCTAAGTATTCCACATCATTCTTAAGAACCGATACCCCTACCTATCAAATCACTCCAAAACTAACTCAGTTCCAAACTCCTTTCCATACTGTTTTGAGGATCCAAAGAGTCCATGTTCACAAGGGCAGCCAGAGAAATATTGTCTTCATTCAGAAATTGTTTGCAACTCTTCTGTGATACCACTTTTGTGAAACCTTTGTTTTCCCGTCAGAGACTTGAATTTTATGATATTTAAAAGCCAGTGAATTATTTGGTCATTACCTCTTGCAGTAGTAGAATGGCTAGGCATCCACTGAAGGTCGTTGCCTGTCAGAACAGTCCCCCAGTTGTACTGCATGGGACATTCTTTCTGAGATACACCAGCCATATGTGGAAAAAGCCTTTTGGTCAAATGCCCAAATCCACAGAGACAAACAGCTGACCAGCTGACCTTGCTGGGAAGCCTTGCCCTTCTGCACTTAACACAAAGCTGAGGGGTTGGGATATAGTTTCCCCATCTCAAATTATAGTCTAAGGAAAAAAACAGCCATAACATAAGTATCTGTTACCGGTAACTGAAGACTGTATTCTCCAACCATCAGATCCATCCGCTGTCGACGCACAGGTAAAATAATAATAATAACAACTCATCTGATGACACTTCTGCTTCCATCTTTTACCCTCCCGTCTTCAATTAAAAGCTGCTTTGGGTTAAACCAAATGTCTTTAGGAAAAATTCTATACCAGAAGAGCCAGTGGTCTTAAATACAGACCATCATTGAAACTCCGGAAAGTTGTCCACTGTGAGTGATGGCATCCGTTTTCTTTGATCAAGATTGGCAGAGTAGGGGTCTGCTGGGGAAAATGGTTTAGCTGTTCCAACTGGAGATAAAACAGCTACTTAAAAGGTCTTGGTCTCCTTTGTGGAGTATTGGCATTCAGAGCCTAAGCAAACTTGCTAATGTTTTCTTTTTTTTAAATAAGAAATATGAAAGAGTTTAAAAAGTGTGGTTTAGTCTCCCCCTCCCCACCGGGGAAGAATTGGGGATAGCTATTGTTAGATCAAAACTGAGCTTTATGGTGGGGCATAGAGGGGAGCCCCTCTTCTGAAGGTTCTCCTTGATCAGGCATCCCCCCCCCCCATTTTAAATGGAACTGCTGTATTCTAAGATTTCCTGAAAGTCTGATCTTGGGTCTGCAGATAAATTGGTCATTTTTATCACTAATAATAACCAGCAACATGCTATCAAGGAGAAGTGCTGCGGTGATTATAAAAGTAGCACTAGAGTAGCAGAGGCCACAAAAACTGTTTGCTAATTCCATGTTTGCCACTAATAGCTGTGTGACTTTGGGTGAATCTCTTAATTCTTATGACTAAGTTTCCTCAATCATAAAATAAGAGTGGGATTTAGATGATCACTAACATCTCTTCCAGCTTTAAATTAATGTGATTATGCAGTAACCACAAGTTATTTTTTAAACCTTTTAATTTATGGGTATTAAGCAGAAGAGTATGTGTGTATGAATACATGTTTCATATTTCTTTCATGTGAAAATGGTAGTGCATTCAGTTTTTCCTATAACCATTGAGTTGTGAATATGAAAAGAATGGTGGAAAGGAACAAAAAACAGGAAGGTATTTTGATCTTGCCCCAAAGTGTGCACCAAAATGGCACCGGCAGCTGCTTGCTAAAGCTTTTTTTTTTCCCCCTTAAGAACTTGTGTTAGGAAAATAATTCTACTTCCAGGGACAACTTCATGGGACCCCTTTACAAATTAGAGTCAGCTTTATGAACGCCTCTACCAGAGCCAAGAATCCTGAATTCCTGATAGATTAGTGCTTTATGTTATCTGCCTTGATATTTCTAAAAGGCTTCTGCATTAGGCTCATACTTCACTCATTCATGTGCTGCCAGTAATTAAAACATCCCACCTCAGGAGCTCTGGTAGCATAGTGCCTAAGGCACTTGACTGCTCACCAGAAGGCTGGCGGTTCAAACCCACCAGCCACTCCTCAGAAGGAAGGTTGGGCAATCCTATTTCCGTAGTGATACTGCCTCGGAAACCCAAGGAAGGGTCACTATGAGTCGGGGCTGACTTGACGGCAAACACCACCACCTCAGACTGCACAAATGGCTTACCCTTCTTTATAGCATGGTGTCTGTCTCAGGGAAAAATATTTTATGATTTTCTATGGCAACAATCCCAGTATGTCTGAGATTTCAGTGAAGGCCTGGATGCATTTTTGGTGCATAGTCTTCAGCAGTTCACTGTATTTCTGTAATACTAGATCCCAAGCTATGCAGATCGCTTACACCGTTGTGAAGGAGGAGCAGCTTACTACATTCGTGAAATGAAAGAGGATTTGGAGGCAGGGATTAATAGGAGGAAAGCTCGGGAAGGGGGAGGCTTTGTCTCACATCAGCGGAAAACCTTTGCTGAGGAAATCAGCCTGTATATCTCAAAATGGTGACGCTAAGGCCCATGCCACCAAGCGGGACTCTTTGTAGCTGTAACTCTCTCTTTTCCTGTGACTAATGGAGTTGCTGAATGGTTTCCATTCTTCTGAGGTCCGTTTTCTGAGTGGCACAACCACGCACAAAGGCTGCACTTCCACTGTAGCATTCTGAGCTTAGACTGGGGCACATCCATTCCAGAGAAAGTGTGTATGTGGAGGCTCCACATTCTCAAATCTTGAAGCTGAGGATAGTATGCAGTGGCTACCACCACACAAGGAAGCACTTCCTTCTGTACTCTTTGTACTAATTAATACCCTCTCCCCTAGCTGAAAAGTGGTGGTGCGGGGTTCCTAGCAAGATGGCTACAGGGAAGAGCAGGTTCAGGGTGGCATCCGAAGCTCTTGGGCTGTGCAGTTCTGTACCAGCTTCAGGAAGCACGTTGACTTTCTCATCCAGAGTCCTTCTGAGCCACAAGCTCTGTAAGTCTTCCTTTCCCACCAGACCTCTTGTTAGGCAGGCCTCCCACCACAAACTCAGGAGGCCACAATCTGAGGAGCACTTAAACCCATGGACATGTCCCTTGCAGCCAAGGTAACAGAATTGGGATGAGCATGGAAAAGGAAGAGAAACAGCTCTCCAGATGTCCCCCTATCACTATTTGAAGTGTCACATAGGTACTTCTACTGGCAGAGAACTAAATAGAAGTGTCTCCCCCATGACCCTCCACCACCACCAGCAGCAGAAAAGAGAAACAATAAAATATATTTATAAATCTACCAGTCTTTAGGTTTCTTAAGTCATTCTGCCAGAAAGACACTTGCTTGGCACAGAGAAGCCAGCTAATCTGATGTTTTGTTACCTATTCAGAGCTGTGACTGACTCAGCTTCTGACTTTCCCCGTGACAAAATTTCTCACCTTTTAAATGCAGTGCTTAACATTTTGCTAGGCCCGTACTCATAGTGACCCACATACAATGACCCAAGATTTCTTTTGCAAAGAGAAGTGTTTAAAAACACAAAATTTTACTCAGTATTGTGTTAACAAATCTGCTGAGCATATGTTTTACAAACAGCATCTCCACCACTAATCTTAGGGTGGTCTCCTCTGCTTTGGCTGTTGTCCCCTGAGGAATGTGAGGTTTAGAATGTGTTAAAGGAAAAAGCAGTACTTCAGATATCCACCCCAGGGCAGATGAGACGACTGTAATGAAAGTGTTCCTTTAAAGTTGTAAGTTTAAAGTGCACCCCACTAAGAGGACGTGTGTTGGTCTCTAGCAGTTTGGAAACTCCAGGCCACTCCAGATTTGTGAAAGAGCCTGGACGTCTCTGAGGTCTCAAAGATGCAGAATTAGGACTTGGGAGTTCAAAAGAAAAAAAAGGAGAGTGGTGAATATTTTGTTCTAGGAAATGGCATCAGAAGCAGGAGAGTTAGATACACAGTGCTGTCTTTTAGAGAATTGGAAGCTATTTTCTGTGCTCAGACAGAAAGTACAGTTCAGAGAATTTCTATGGGTAGGCTTCAGAAAACCAGAGCAATCTGGAATTTAAGTGCCTGTAAAGAGGACAATGTTGAGCCCAACTCAAAGGTTGTATCTGCTTCCCCACCCCCATCCCCCACCTCCAAAAAGGACTGTGTTCTCCAGGCTGAAGGACTGAATAGTTCTGAGAAGGATCAGGGAGCCAGGGTTGGGGACCGCCAACTCTGCCAACTGTGGACTCAAGGCAGAAGCCTGGAAGAGACATGCGAGCTGTAAACTTGTGTGAGCCCAGAAAGTAAAACAAGATGTGCCTTTGACTTAACCCAAGCTATATATATATAGGTCTGCATGCCACCATGCCATCAGTATGATAAACAGATTTTTGCACTCTTTTTTCCCCCTAACCTTTTATTGTGATTTGGGTGAAAGTTTACGGAGCAAACTGGTTTTCCACTCACCGGTTCATACACAGTGTGATTCATGACCTGGATTGCAGTCCCACAGTGTAACAGCAGTCTCCCACTTCCTCTGTGTATTTGTCCTTCTTTTCTATCCCTTCCTGCCTTCTGAGCTTTATCCCTGGGCAAACGTTGCCTTTTTATGTCATGAGGTTGATTGTTCTAGGACATCCATACCTCCCTGGTGTTAGTCACTTTATAGGCCTATTGTTTGGCTGAAAGTTGAACCATGGGGTGAAGTTTTTGCACTCTGAAGCAGTAGGGTCTAAGTTTCCTCTATTACAATAATGGACTGTCTTTCACATTTATTGAGTTGTTACTTGAAATTGGAATGTTAATCTTATGATGAAAAATGTAAGGACATAGCAATACCTTGTTCGCAAGGATATTGTGAGGTTTTATGAATTTTGTCTATAGGATAATGTTACTTTTGCGGGACTATATTGGATGCTTGCAGATTTTCTGCCATACGTACTGTGTCTAGATTTAAAGACATGAAAAATACCCAGAGACCATACTAGGACCATAATAGTTGTCCAGCTGATCTCTAACACACAGTTGCCTTCCCTCTGTTTTAATACATAAGGGTAGAGAATATGGTACAAGTTAACACCATGCTACAGACACTTCACAGCATTGCACCCAGTGAAGTAGAATGGCTTTGCTCCCTCACCCTCTCTTGAGCCTTTAGCTAGTAGTTCCTCATGCAACTTAAGAATTTCCTCAAATGGTCCTCACTGTCCATCTCTCCATTGGCACCACTCCAGAAAGCCTGGAGAATGGGCCCAAAGGGCCACCTACCTTTTCCCTTCCAGTCCCGTGGGGCCTATTTCATATTCCAAATGTTAAGTGCAACTGTGCTTCATCTTCTGAAAAGACTGAGAACAACATTTTAACATGTTAGGA